GCACAAGCATGGGCTAGGATGGGCATTAATGTGTTTGTTCCATATGGTAAATACTACTAAATATGAGAAGTGACCATACCTGAGTAGGCTGGTAAAGAATGCTTTTCACAGCCTAGATAATGTCATATCCAGTTTTCCAGTTCGTGGGGCCACCCACTGATGGGTCATCAGAAGAATAATTAGTGTGTCAAAGGGTAACCAGTCACATAAGCATATTTGTTTATTGGCTTCAAAAGTCTGTAGATCGTATAACATTGTGCAGTCAGCATTGAACCACCCATGGCAGGAAGCTGAAAACACAAACAGAGCAGAATGAAACGGTAAGTAATGGATGGCCATTCACTTCTGGTAGAGAGCTAATATTCTTTCCAAATTTAAATAACATATTTCACTACAGAGAAAAATGGACTTTATTTTCTTTCTAATGACAAAACTTCTTAAGTAATCACCATGAGAGCTAGCTACTTTTCTCAGGCTTAATGTGAATCATTGGTCAAAACTGTAGGTTTTCTTTTGAAATATATAGTAAACAGCCCAGGGGAACAGTTGCTCTCTGGTTTAAAATTAATTTTAGGTAAAAAGAAATAAAGAATCCTTGCATTTCATTTCCTTTCTAATTGTGCAAAGTTTACTAAAGTAGGGAGTTTTTCTTTTTTTTTTCTTTTTGTTTCATAGTTGCTTTGAAAGGAGTTAAATGAAGCGAAGTATTAAAGGCTAATACTGTTCATCACCACTCTGGGTTCTTTTAATAATATCTGTGGTATTAAATATCAGGGTGACTTATATTCAGAAGGTGAACCAGTCATATGTCTTTTCTGCATGTGCCTGAAAGCTTCTGTGGCAAATGTTTTTGCAAATTACAAGCTCTGTTGCATTAACAAGGAGCCGTGGTGGTGCAGTGGTTAAAGTATTCAGCTGCTAACCAAAAGTTGGTGGTTCAAATCTACCAGCCGCTTCACAGGAAAAAGATGAGGCAGTTTGCTTCCTTAAAGATTTACAGCCTTAGAAGCCCTATGGGGGCAGTTCTACTCTGTTCCTGTAGGATCACTATGAGCCAGAATCAACTCGACGCCAGTGAGTTATTGCATTAACATACTCTTAGCCTTGACCACACATAATGGTGCAATTTCAAATGGTAGTATTACTCATTTTAGTATAATTGCACAAGCAATTTCATTTTAGCTAGTAATTCTCACTTCAAGGAGAATGACTATCATTTTCCAAGGTAATGCACAAGGCAGATGTGCAGGAGTGCAGAACCAGTGATTTTCCTTTGTAAGATATGCATTACTCCTACTGAAGGAAAAGCTCAGTTTTCTGTGGTGTATTTGCTTTGCAGTTTGATGAGTGCTGGAACCTGATCCTGTCTTTGGGCATTTAGTTTTCACCTGTGATGGCATATGTGGGAGGCATAGGTGATTTTTCACAGGCAGGAGTCTGAGCATGGGATGGGTAGTTACTTTGTCCTCCCCATACAGAGCCTATACTAAATGACTTTGTGGTTCGTGGTGTACTTAACTTACAACAGTGAAGGGAGACCACATCTCTAATCTTAGCCCATGTCCTCCCTTCGTTGTGAGGATTCTCTCATGTCTTATTAATGAGTGCTGTCTGGATTTTTCTTAAAACTTTGAATTTTTTCCTTTATAAAGCACTGTAGTTTAATGTGCAATGTTTGATTCCATGCCTACTCTGAAAAAAGGAAGCCTGGTGGCATAGCTGTTACGCACTCAGCTGCTAACCATAAGGTTGGTGGTTCAAACCTGCCAGCAACTCTGAAAGAGAAAGATGAGGCAGTCTGCTTCTGTAAAGATTTACAGCCTTGGAAACCATATGGGGGCAATTCTACTCTGTCATATAGGGGGCTATGTGTCAAAATTGACTCAAAGGGAATAGTTTGGGTTTTTTGATTGTTACTCTGAAAAGGTACAGCAAATTGAGTGACACTTTCTTTTATATGAAGTTACCTCATATTTTCTCTATTTTGAAAGATGAACGGCTAAAGCATCCAGGCAAAATGAATTATAAATGAAGAATGTATAACATAGATATTGTATATAGCTGTTTAAGATCTTATAATTTATTAGTACATCTTGTAGGAAGTATTTTAGTTCTCCAGCACATATTGAGAGAGCTGGGCACTTAAATCAAATCAATTGCATTAGCATGACACTTAAATCAGGCAGGTATGCCATTTGTGTTCTCCATGTTTGACTCTGTTGTCTTCTTTCAATTTGTGCAACATGTTCACATCAACTGTAGCTCATTCTAGTGGGACCTGCATGTGTGGCATTTATTTTTATTTTCCCTGGAGTGTAAGTGTGAAGTCAGAATTTAGAATTTCAACATAAAAAGCATGAGATATCTAAGTAAATCAAGTTGAATAATATAAATATGGTTTGCACACACAAAAAAAGACAGGTTTGTTTTGGTTAGGAATGGTTGGGTGAACTTCTATACATGCTTCTCAATGACTAATGGGCATGGATGTTCATATGTTATAACATGAAAAGATAGATTTCCTAGCTCTTAAATGAAACGTATAACCTAGATGTTTCACTCAACAAACCATGTTTATACATATAACTGTAATGTTTATGCTTAGCATATTAGGTTATTTTCCTATTGTTTTTTAGCAAGTATTAACCTATTACAATTTTAATCAGGTTCAATTCAATTTGTGGCAAAACATGTCATCAGTATTGTTTCATTTTTTCATTACATATTTAAGTTCTACTTCACATGCACAGATGCATTACAACTAATTTGGCCATATTGACAAAAGAGTTTGGTTTTCAAACCAGGTAGTATACATATAAACGTAACCTTGAGTAGATAGATCATGGTCAGACTGCCTATCTGAGTATAACCTCATCTCCAAAGATCTTAAGTCTCCTTTTCTTTTTCCTTTCCTCCCTTCATTCATTTTTCCTACAAATACTTAACTTACTTCCTACCATGCACCAGGGACGGCAATGGGCTCAGGGGATGCAATCACGAACAGGATTAATAAAGTCCCTACCTTCACAAGGCTTGCAGTTTAGTGGGAAAGATGGGCATTATGAAAATAATTACACAAATAATTCAGTAATTAAGTCCTGGTCCTGGCCATTTCGCTGCCACTGCTTCTCACCTTCTTCTCATTAACAGTATTACAACTCTTCTCACTTCCTTCTGAGCCCTCACCAGAATTGCCTTTGATGTCCATAATTCCACCAACAGCCTATTCAAGGCAATCTAGGCTTTTACTATTAGGCACCTTAAAACTCTTCCTGTACCCATTACTCAATTCCAAAACCGTTTCCATATTTTAGATATCTGTTAGAGCAGCACCTCACTCCCCCAGTACCACATTCTGCCTTAGTTATCTAATGCTGTGGTAACAGAAATGCCACAAATGGGTAACTTTAACAAACAGAAATTTATTCTGTCACAGTTCAGGAGTCCAAATGCAGAACACCAGCTCTGGGGAAAGGCTTTCTCTCTGTGCCAGCTAGGAGAAGTTCCTGGCTTCTTTCAACATCTGTGGGCCCAACTTTCCTTGGAGGTTTCCATGTGTCTTGGCATCAGTCTTTTCCTGGGTCTAGCATGTTCTCAGCACAGGGCTCCTGAGCCCATAGGACATGCTCTTCTCCCAGCTCTTCTTCTTCTTTTTTTTTTTAATTTATTGTTATTTGGGTGAAGATTTACAGAGCAAATTCACTTTCCATACAGCAGTTCACATATACTTTGTCTCATGTCATTGACCACAGTTTACCACACTGCAACAGCTCCCCTCCCACTTCCTCCCCACAGTTACCTCTTCCCAGTGTCCATCCCTCTGTACTCTCCTGCCCCCTGAGCTGTCTTCCTGTGCATAAGCAGCCCTTCTTTCTCCCATGATTGTTCTCTCCAGGGCGTGTGTCTACTTGAGGTAAATGTTTAACTCCCATGCCTGTACTTTGTTTGGCTGGAAACCACAGGTGTGGGTTCAATTCCAGACCTGAAGGGCAGCTAGGGGCCATATCTCAGTGGTTCCACCGGGCTCTATTGGACCAACAAAGCTGGTCCCAACCATCTTTTTTTTTTTTTTTTCCTCCAAATGATTTTGAGTTTTATTCCCAGCTCTTCTTTCTTGGTGGTAGTCAGGTCCCCCCCACTTCTCCTTGCTTCTCTCTCCTTCTATCTCCTGTAATTTAAAAGGTGATACAGGCCACCACCCCACAGGGAAACTCCCCTAACATTGGATCTCAGGGCTGTGACCTGAGTAAGGGTGTTGCATCCCACTGTAATCCACTTTCATCTGATTGGCTGATAACATCAGATCACATCATTACATATTTAATGTAATGATTACATCATAACATAACTGCCAACCCACTGAGAATTATGGCTTAGCCAAGTTGACACATATTTTGGGGGGACACAATTCAATCCATGACAAAGCCTCTTTAGAAAAAAACAATCTAGCACCAGTAAGGAGGATGACTGCAGTGAGGAAAGCCAGCTAGGTCAGTTTCAGTCATCTTGGTGAGAGGCCAAGAAGGCCTGAGTTGTTGCTGGTTCAGCTGGTAAATCTATATTTTGAGTTTGAAGCAGAATTCCAACAATGCCCTGAAATTTCCCAGAGACCATCTCTTGAAGGGAGAAGCCATTAGGCTTACTCTCTAAAGGTCACAAAGATTTCTAACCAGCTTCAAAGCCAAGTTGTCCTGATCTTTTAAGAAAGACATCCTGGCTTCCAGGAACACTTACAATACAAATATTTAAAATGGAAAAACCATAAGGATGTCAAGGCAGAAAGATTTTGCTTTACTGTGCTGCAAGTATTTCTGAACTGATTTCAGCTGATTTATGAATAAATGATTATTCCAGTCTTGAGAGTGAAATATTGAAAAGTTAGCTCCCTTTTAGAGTTCATGTATAATAAGAGCTGGTTTTCTGTGCTCCAGACTTCCTCTCTTCATTTCCTTCTTTTTAGTACATTGTAATTATGACTCCTACTGTATGCTTTTTCAGGATCCTGTATGAAAATTATTTAAACGTTGCACAGAAGTCTTTTGTGAAAGAAAAAAAGGAAATTCAGTTTGTGGGCCTCAGCAGGAGTTAAGCTAATGCAGCTTAAAATAATGCCGAAAACGAAGTGCTTATCTGCAGGCAGAGTGCCCCTGATTCTCCTCCTATGCCAGATGATTAGTGCACTGGAAGTACCTCTTGATCGTAAGTATTATCATTTTAAAGCTGTTAGGCCTGGGGGTCAAAACCTCCCCAGCATTTACCATTACTCTGAGCTGTGTGAATGGGGAAGGTCTGTGTGCTGCTGAAAAGCTAATCAAAATTAATTTGGCTTTTACCTTCAGCACCTGGTGTTTATAAAGATTCGCACCGAGACCATGGCCGTGGAAATGGTTGGACTTATTGTCCTCTCCCTATCATTATCTTCCTCCCACATCAGGTGCCTTTTGTGTACCTTAGCGGGGTTTGGCCTGAAAAGGAGTGAGTTTTAAGGTTGCCCTGATCCTCCCTGATCCTCCCCATGGACAGCTCTTTATGGAAGCAGTTCTGCAAGAAAATAATAGGAATCCCTTTAAAATGATCTTGGAGACTTCACACATCCACTGGCACTTCACCCTCTCTCTACATGTGCTGAGAGTGCCCCAGAAAAGATGGGGGTGCCAACCCTCTACCCCTCTGTATCCCCAAACTACCCATAACTCATTTCTCTGGATGCAGACAATGCAAATTTCACATTTTAATTGTGAATATTAAATATGAATCTAGGACTAGGAAATGTGTCCTACCTAAATCCTAGTGAATGGACCTCTTTGATTTAACAAACCATGATCAAAGACCAAGATGCAAATTTTGGAAGTAAGGCAAATAATCTGCAAAAATACTGTTTCAAATGGAGCAAACAACAGCTACTGTATTAGTCGACTCTTTTCCTAACGGTAAAGTATGCATTGCACACTCCGTGGCTGGAGGGCCTCTTTTGTGACAAATGAAGATAATTCTAGGTTCCAACTGGTTGCTTTTCCTGCATTGGAGAGCAGAATTTCAGATCTAGACAATTACTGTACTTCAGAATTGATTTATCCTTTATCCCTAATCTGCATGACCTCTTTACATCCATCCATTAGCTTCCTGAATAGAACATCTGTTTGGCAAGCTTCTCAAGGTGCAAGGAAGATAGCGCTTTTCTAGGCCTGTGCATTTGTTGGGATGTCATTTTTTGCCATAGAGATTGCAACTGCCAATAGGAAGGCATTCAGAAGAGATGTGGCTTGCTCCACATTTATTTGACTTCCTTTGCTGTGTTATTATAATCTAAAGTACAATAAAGTGCACTATTTTTCTTATTTTCAAAAAATGTTGAATCCAATGACTTTAATTTCAATTATATATATTGCTTAAATCCATTAGAGTAGAAATGCTTAAGCAAGCATTTGCCCTAGCAGAAGCACAGGAAAGGGAGACAAAGCTCTTGAGAAAAAGGCTTTTGTTCTCTCTTGTGTTAAATATATTCTCCCCTTAATCTGACTGCTCAATCTAACAATCAGAGAGAAACAGTCACCTATAGCTAACTCAATTATCGCTGCTAATGGAGAAGAGGCCTAGCCATGATTAAAAGAAAGTAGGGATAACCCAGGCACTCCTGCATTAACCTTTGCAAGAAGTAACTGACAGGCAGCAATGCGGAATCATTTGAATTGCATGCTGTTGTAATTTCTCCCCTGCCTCTGTCCCTGTCACCCCTTCTCCGGTACATGAGCTGCCCCTTGGTGTGAGCACCAGCAGCGCCTGGGAGATTGAGGAATTCTGAAGCAGAAATATGTGAACAGTCTGAAAAGTTCCATTACAGACTTGGTGGTTAACCATAGTCATCTAAATATCTAAAATCCTTGCTGGATTTGCCTTAGATGGAGCGCTATGGCAGCATCCCATTGTTAGGTATTATTACCATGTGCCTGGTGATGTCTGGGATAATAGGATCAGACACTACACAGTATGTGACAACTCAGATTAATTGTAGATTTCCACTATTTTTCAAATTGAACATAATTACTTGTCCAGCACATGTACAGAATGGAGTTAGTCATTCCTATTCCTGGAAGAACCGTTTTTACCTACAGCATTGCTTTTGTTCTTCCATATGTTTATGTGGATAGATGCTGTCGGTGTAAACAAAACTATTCATCCAAGTTTCTTTCTCTTGCAATTTCACAACTGCAACCTTCGCTATACTGTTTTGTTTTTGTTTTTTTTAGATCAAATCAAATACACGAGATGCACCTTTTATCTGCAGGGTTCTAACGTTCTTATTACTAACATATGGTTTTCTTTAATCCTGTTTGCCCACTCACCTGCTGATATTGATGGGGGAAAAGCAAAACTTCTTGAAGATTGTAAGTGTCTTTCTACAAATTATTAGGCAGTGTGAAATATTGATCATGTCTTTATTTTTCTAATTAATACTGTGAATTAAATGCACAATGTTATGTTTTGTAACTGGTGGCTTTTTTGGCATCTGTGTTTATTGTGGCTAAACCTTGCATTTATATTAACTACAAAGCACACTTCATTAGGTTACCTGCATGAAAGCTGAAGACTCAGGTATTGCTCTTTTTTTTTTCCTACCCATATGCTGTGCTACTAACTTCCAAGCTTTATTCACATCTGATGTAACTCAATGAGAAAATTCACAAAATTTAGACACAATGACTCTCTGGTTCCAAGTACTATTAAGCGCTTGCTGAAATAAAGACATGTCATTTGGTATCTTTTAGAAGGTGGGTGCATGCAGAAGCCACACCTGAGTCAGCAGCTCTACACCCCTTTACACTTCCTGAGCCTCAGGCAGTGTGGACTAGTGTTTCTAGGTGCCATCAGTATAAATAGCCCAGCGAATTTGACTGTGGTTTTGAAGTGTGCCAAAGACAAACAAGTAGCCACTGCTTGTATTGTTTCTGAGTGATTTGCTCTAAGCAGGAACTTCTGTTGCCTAGGACAGTTGGGCCTCATCTGTCGTCTGGCTAACAATTCATTAGTCCATTTTCAAGCATCTGAAAATTTCTTTGATTCTGGATCAGCCAGGGAAGTTATGTAAAATCACCTTTTCCCTTATTATGGCAAAGCATTTGTTAATTGCCAGACAGCCTAAGCCTGGTTCAAAAAGGTACATCCAGATGGTATACTGCTGGCAGTTGGGAATGGCATGTAAACCAGCTCTGCTCTAGACATGTGAATAGAAGTTCTGAGTTTGAAGCCACCCACATCCACCATTTACTACTTATGAGCTACAAGGTGGCCTTCCTTCATTTCAGATGCTGCACTCCCAGAGTCTCAAGGATCACTCAGAGGCAAAATTGCCCCAAATAAATCCAATCATGATACTAGTGCAAAAATGGCTAACATTGTTGCACTACAGCATTGGCATATACTACAAATTTCACACAAATTGTTTTACTCAATCTTCCCAGCTACCCTAGGAGATAGGTGCTGCTCTCAAAACTTCATTTCTTCCAGAGGAAATGAGAGATTGTAGAATTTAAGAAACTTGCTTTAGGTCTCATACCTAGTAGCAAATAGATTAGTTCTTAATCAATAGAACAAACTGCCAACAATGGAAACTGACAGCACCAGGGCAGCAAGAATTCCATATACAGTTGTGGAGGCTGAGAGAGCAACTGGCTTGTTAGGAAGAGGACAAAGAGGATAGGTAAGATATTGCTAAAAGGAAGGAAATTGATACTGTCTAGTATACTAGTAGTGGTAATAATGTTATTGTTGTTATGTGCCGTTGAGTCGGCCCCAACTCATAGTGACCCCTCTTTTGGGTTTCTGAGACGGTATCACTATGGAAGTAGATTGCCCAACCTTCCTTCCGAGGAGTGGCTGGTGGGTTTGAACTGCCAGCCTTCTGGTTAGCAGTCAAGTGCCTTAGGCACTATGCTACCAGAGCTCCTAGTGGTAATAATAGTAATAGTAATTTATTTAGTACACAATATGTTGTTGTTGATGTTGTGTGCCATCGAGTCGGCCCCGACTCATAGCGACCCCTCCTTGGGTTTCCGAGGCAGTATCACTATGGAAGTAGGATTGCCTAACCTTCCTTCCGAGGAGTGGCTGGTGGATTTGAACCACTAGCCGTCTGGTTAGCAGGCAAGTGTCTTAGCCACTATGCTACCAGAGCTCCTAGTACACAATATAGGATAGCAATAATGAGTATAGCTTTTGATCTATTCTTTAGATATTGGTTGGATGTTTGGTAAGAGATGTCTGGTAGACAGCAATATGACTGGAGAGAGGGCGAGAACACACCTATATGTACAGACTTTTAAGACATTGGATGGGGAGGTGATAAACACTACAACAATTATAACTGGAGTAAATAGGGACAAGAGCAGAGCATTGACTAAGTTTTGAAAAATGCTTGGTTGGCAGGTAGAAGGAGTTTCAGAAAGGAAGTGCAGAGTGTGGGCAGGGAGGAAAGGAAGGATCCACATGATGGAATATGAGCTGATACAGACTGTTGGACATAGCAGTAAAGGAAAGGAGAGTGAGAATCCAAGAGAGAGACGTGGGAGAGGTTGCATGATGCAGGAGAATGCTACTGGGGCAGGGCCACTGCATGGCACAGTTTCAGGGGGACCATTCACACCATAGTTGGTGCCAGAGTTTTCCAACCATGGCACTACTAACATTTGTTGCAAGAATTTTCTTTGTTGCAGAGAGCTGTCCTGTATATTGAACAGAGTTTAGCAGTATCCCTGGTCTCCACTTGCTAAGTGCCAGTAGCACCCCCAGTTGTAACAGTCAAAAATGTCTCCAGAAACAATTAGTCCAAAGGACTATTGGACCATGTAAACCCTAGCCTCCACAACCCTAAGACCAGAAGAACCAATGGTGCCCAGCTACCTTGGTGACCACTCTGAAAGGGATCACAATAGCAGGTCCTGGATAGAGTGGGAGAAAAATGTGGAATGTAACTCATAATCATAAAAAAAGACCAGGCTTACTGGTCTAATAGAGATTTGTGGAACCCCTGAGACTATGGTCGTTAGACACCCTTCAAGCCTGAAACTGAACTTGCACCCATGACCCAACTTTCAGCCAAATGATAGACAGGCCTATAAGGTGAACAGTAACATGAGGGAAGTAACACACTCCTTAGAACAATCAAAAAATCAACCTAAAGAGCAGCATTTGCCCAGGAATTGAGCTCAGAGGGCAGGAAAGGATAGGAAAGAAGGATAAAGGGAAACAGTAAACACAAGGATGAAGTGGAGGAGTGCTGTTATATCGTGAGGATTGTAATCAATGTCACAGAACACAATGTGTATGTAAACTTTCATCCAAATCACATAAAAAGTTTAAAAAAAAAAAAAAAAGTTTCCAGAACCACAGAGCTCTGTAAATGGCTCTCCCTGGACTTGGGCAAGGTGGTAGCTGTCTACTAGGAGCCAGTTGGGAGAGTTTGGTTCTCTTCTGTTTTGTGCCTTCCTAGGCAAGTGCTGAGTGGGAGAAGAGGAACTAGGAAGTAGGAATAGATTATTTCTCAGTCCCTCCTGCTCTAACGCTCTGATTTTGATACCTTAGAGCAATTTGAGGAGGGTTGGAAGTACCAATCCCAGGTTTCTTCAAATCATACTGTTTTGGGTCAGAACCATTTCTCCCCTAAGACTTGATAATAAATGATCAGTTATCACTTTGGAAGGTGCAATGGAAATAGTGATTCCTGTAACAAAGAATTTCCTCAGTCTGTTTATCTTCTAAGTAAGACTGTTTTATCTTTGTTCCTAATTCACCTACCCTCTGCCTTTGATAAGACATGTCGCATTTCCATTTTAACAATATTTTTGATATTAACTTTTCAAATTTATTTGTTGTCAAAGTATATTAACTTACATTACTCACTGATGAACTGACTGTAAGTGAGTTACTCTTTCAGAAGAGAAACGTACCTTTACCTGATACCTTAAATTTCATGGAACGATATTGTTTGGAGCAAACTATCCATCAGAGGAATTCCTCATTGTTACATCAGAAGAGAAACTGTCTTAATGTCAGGCTTGTGATGGTAATTATTTTCCCAAACTTTTAGTCTGGAAAATAGTGCTTTTGAGTGCATATAAAGTTATCAAAAAAGGAACTTGTACCTTGACTTCTCAGTTTTAAGTGACTTTTAGTTGAAAATCTACTGAGCTGTGGGCCACCACAGTAGAAATTGCTAAAAACATTTGCAGCATAGCCTAGGTGAAAGGATTTTTCTATAGAAAACAATGATTTCTATTATGATATTAAATAAATTATTTATTTTACATTGTTCTTCTTTCTATAATTAAGTGGTACAACCTCCAACCATCACTCAACAGTCTCCGAAAGATTACATTATTGACCCAAGGGAGAATATAGTAATCCAGTGTGAGGCCAAAGGGAAACCTCCTCCAAGGTAGGTATGCTTTCTGCTTTGTTATGGTACTGGAGTCTGTCTGGGGAAGTCTCTAAATACAGAATAGACTCTGAAAGCCCCATAAAATAAGTTAGGCCATGTAGAGCACTCTTTCTTGGTTGGATAGTTCTCAATGCCAGTGACTTCAGACCACCCCTGAGTACATCTAACCAACTCCACTGGTCCATTTTAGCCCTTCAAAGATATTCGTGTTAATTTCTCAAGTCCTACATATTCTTACAGTATCATTTGAAAGTTGATTTTTTTAATCTGCTTAATTAAAATCAGTTTTTTCTTCTTAAAAACCTGATTATTGCATTTCTGTACATCGGTTCTTCTGCAAAATGCTCAAATATGGTGGAGAGATAAAGAAAGAACCTTCTAAATGTGGTTGTGACATAAATGACCTTATGACATGGGCAGATCTCTTTTCTCTGGGCCTCATTTACCTCATCTGTAAAACAAAGAGTTTGAATTTGATGACTTCTAAGATGCCTTCTAGGAGCATCAAAACACACGGCTGTCGAGTTGATTCCAACTCATACTGACCCTATAGGACAGAGTAGAATTGCCCCCATAGGATTTCTAAGGCTGTTAATCTTTACAGAAGCAGACAGCCATTTCTTTCTCCCATAGAGCAGCTAGTAGGTTCAAACCACTCACCTTTTGGTTTGCAGCCAAGTGCTTTATCCACTGCACCAACAGCGCTCCCCCATCTAGCTCCATATCCCCAAACTCACTGCCATCAACTCAATTCTGACTCATAGCAACCCTGTAGGACGGAGTAGAACTGCCCATAGAATTTCCAACACTGTAAATCTGTACAGAAGTAGATTGCCTCATCTTTCTTCCACAGAGTGGCTCCATTATGGTCTGTAAGTTGTCCTAAATGCTTTTCCAAACTTGGCAGGGTCAGTGTTGAGTAGTTTCCATATAAGTCTTGGCATGAGCACAGCATAGCATTATAGAGTTGAAAGGACATAGAGATAATTGAGCCCAACCAATATATTTCACAGATGAGAAGACCAAAGCTGAGTAATTTTAAGTAACTTGTCCAAGGCCACACAGATAGTTAGTGGATGATCCATAACTGGTTCAGTAACACATGGGTGTTGAAGAGAGTTGGATTATTACTATTAAAATATTATGTGGACTTTTAAGTAATGAAGAAGTGAGTTTCTAAATATTATATATCTGAGTTTGTCTTTCACAGCTCTTGTTAAGACCATCATAGATTATCACCTAAGATAGAATTGTGCTTACTCAATACTTAAGTAGGAGTCCCTAGGTAAACGGTTAAGCACCGGACTACTACCCAGAAGGTTGGTATTTCAAACCCACCCATAGGTGCCTTGGAAATAAAGCCTGATAATATGCTTCCAAAAGGTCACAACCTTGAAACCCTACGGGCCGTTCTACTCTGTAACACAAGGGGTTGCCAGGAGTCTAACTCAACTCCACAGCAACTAACAACAACAAACAACAAATACCTCAGTATGTCAAAAATCATTCATCCCTGAGACTGTGACCCTTAGACACCCTTCAAGCCTAAAGCTGAACCTACCCCTCAGGTATCAACTTGCAGCCAAACAATAGACAGGCCAATTAGGTCACAATTACACCAGGGAAGAACTACTCAGAACAATCAACACACTAGACTAAAAGGGCAGCATTTGCCCAAAAACACAGCTCAGAAGGCAGGAAGGGGCAGAAAAAACAGCCTTTATCCACTGGAAGCCAGTACTACCACCATCCTTGCTCCCAACTTGTGAAAACCACTGCTCTGTGGATAAGCAATCATAAGGAAGGTCCAAGTGGGCCTGGGAAACACAGTGAAGTTTAGAGATCCATGCTATTGTCTGAACATGGCCACTATTGATTTGTGAGTAGTTGTAAAGTGTTTAATAGCATGAGCACTGTGACTCTCAAAGCAACCTTTTACTTAAATAAAATGAGAAAGAATAATAATCTCAGTTAACAATTAGAATACTTCCTAAGGAATTCACAAAATCTCCAGGATTTAACACTCTCAAGGTATGTTTTATGTAACTAAACCCCACTCCTATTGAATCGATTCTGACTCATAGTCATCTTATAGGACAGGATAGAACTGCCCTATTGGGTTTCCAAGGCTGTAATCTTTACAGAAGATGACTGACACATTTTTATACAGGATCACCATTTTTAATAACCAATACAGGGAGTCCCCAGGTTACGAATGTCAGACTTACAGACAGCTCCTGCTTGCCCTTTAGTGTTATGTAAATTTGCCCTCACTTTGGGATGATTGAACCAACCCCTACTCACAACAAATTCATCATCACAGTTACCTTCATTTGCTGCACATGCAGCTTTTAAAACATTTAAAAGGCTTCAAGACTTTTCTTGCACTAAAGTAAGGCTAAAGAAGAACCGTACACCCTGTTCCAATACACCTACAGATTCCACTTAAAGATACAGAGGAATGGATCACATTTGCAAGCCTGGGACTGCCTGTATTTAAAACAATGAACTCGTATCTTCTCTTCTTCCAACATATACTTTGCATTTTAGTAACTTAAAATTGTTGTTGTTTGCCGTCGAGTCGGCCCCGACTCATAGCGACCCCTCCTTGGGTTTCCGAGGCAGTATCACTGCGGAAGTAGGATTGCCCAACCTTCCTTCCAAGGAGTGGCTGGTGGGTTTGAACCGCCAGCCTCTGGTGAGCAGTCAAGTGCCTTAGGCACTATGCTACCAGAGCTCCTAACTTAAAACTAGTTTGATCAACTATATATATGTGTGTGAGTGTGTGTGTATACATACATACATGTATATATATATGTGTGTGTATACATACATACATGTATATATGTATATATGTGTGTATATATACATAATGCATGTATATACATGTATATATGTGTACATGTATATATATGTGTGTGTATATATACATACATACATGTATATATGTATATGTGTGTGTGTGTGTGTGTGTGTGTATCTTGCAGAGGCCTTTCTTGTCACATTTCAGCCCAGAGCAAAGTTTTATAGACAGGTTATCAACTCCATGAACAATGGAATTTACAATAAAAGTGCTAATAAAGCTCTAAGAGCATGTGCTTGGGAGACTTGCTCCTCCCCCTCCCCCCTTTGAAAAATGACAGGCAATTTGTGTTCATGGTTTCTGAATTGAATCAGATTTGGCTGGTTCTAATGAAAACATGCCCCTTAAAATATACAACCAACACTTTTTTCTAAGTTACGATTCAAGACAAGGTTTTAGGTATGGGGGGATGTTGCTCTTTTACTGAATAGTGAATCTAGTCCTTATTTCAGGAAACCCACAAAACTTCTAGGAATTTGTTTAGAAATGTATAATCTTGTTTTTCCAGACTAATGACCAGTTTAAACCTTTATGTGTTGGGCAGCTTCTCCTGGACACGTAATGGGACTCACTTTGACATAGATAAGGACCCTCTGGTCACCATGAACGCTGGCTCAGGAACCCTCATAATCAACATCATGAGCGAGGGGAAAGCAGAAACCTATGAAGGCGTCTATCAGTGTACAGCAAGGAATGAACGGGGAGCTGCAGTTTCTAATAATATTGTCATCCGTCCATCCAGTAAGCAAGACTTGTCAACCAAACATGATTCTGTTTAAAGGATTGCTCAGAGACTCTGCTATTGCTAGAAATATTTAGTAAATATATATTTATTAGAAAATACTAGAATTGCTTCCGATTCTGACTTTATTTTTCATGAAAGTCATTCTTTCCATTTCATCCTAAGGAGTTCCTAACCTCATACTTTGCTGATCCAGTGTGTCTTTTATGCAAGTACTGAGTGAAAAAGCAAAGTTAAGAAAGATGTTTCTTCCCAAAACCAGTCTAATTAGCTATTTGTCACATATTTTCTGTATAAGCAAATTTCTTCTAGTCACATGAAAATAAATTCAGTAAGAAATGGGTAGTTGAGATCCAAGTCCTGTTTCTTTAAACATTTTTATTTTAGTATTCCACTAGAAATAGAGGCCTCAGTACCTTGATATTATTGTGGCTTTTTTGCACTGATCATGACCTAAATCCTTCCAACAACCTCAAGATGATGTACTAAAAGAACAGTGATTATTTCCAGTTCTGGTCATTGAAAAAAATTATTATACTCACAATATGCATCATTTGTAAAAAAAAAATATTTACAAAGAAACCAGAAAAGAAATTTGAAATTTACTCAAGAATCCTAATCACTCACTGCTCAAATTTAACATTTGCCCAGCGATAAAGCTCAGAAGGTAGAAATGGATAGGAAGGAAGGACAAGTGGAATGGTAACACAGGGAGGAAGTGGGAAGAGTGCTGTTTCATTGTCATGAAACCAACATGTACGAACAGTTGAATAGGAAACCAATTTGTTCTATAAACTTTCACTCACATCACAGTAAAAAGTTAAGTAAATAAATAAAACAAAATTACATGTCTCCCTAAAATGAAAAATAAAGTGCACTGAAATGTTAAGAACTGTTATTTTTTTACTTCTATTTTATTTTCTAACTTTGTATTTAAAAAATATTTTCTAGTTATCTTAATGTACATAAATTCTGAGTTACTGTTTCCTCAAAAGTTTAGAAAGAGGAACCTGTTTTAAAACGTATCTTTTTATAAACTGTATTTTTATTTTTCAATGCAGAGATAACTTAGCAGTTAATATTGTATTTAATAGGGTCACCGTTGTGGACCAAAGAAAAACTTGAACCAATGATACTTCGAAATGGTCAGCCTCTAGTACTTCCATGCAGGCCCCCAGCTGGATTGCCACCACCTATAATATTCTGGATGGATAACTGTAAGTTCTTAAAATCTGAACATTCTCCAAGAGTCTTATGATTATTGACTTGTTATAATAAATTACAACCTTTTGTGATTCACAAAGGCGCTCTGGTGGTGCAATCCCTAAGGCATCTGACTGCTAACCAAAAGGTTGGCGTATCAAACCCACCAGCCACTCCACAGAAGGAAGATGGGGTAATCTATTTCCATAAAGATTTATTGCTTCCGAAACCCAAGGGGTTCGCTATGAGTCAGAATTGACTCGATGGCGTGGGTTTGGTTTGTAATTCACAGAGTTTTTATAAAATGTTTTAGAGGTGCTCAGGAAAATAAATTGTTCATTGAAACAAATAACATGTCATTTCATTCACTCAATCAGTTTTTTTACGGACTTACTATATGTCAGGAGCCCTGGTAGCGTAGTGCCTAAGGCACTTGACTGCTAACCAGAAGGCTGGTGGTTCAAACTCGCCAACCACTCCTCAGAAGGAAGGTTGGGCAATCTACTTTCGTAGTGATACTGCCTCAGAAACCCAAGGAGGGGTCGCTATGAGTCAGGTCCAACTCGACGGCACATAACAACAGCAACAAATACTATATGTCAGGCACTGAACCTACATTCCTGGCAACAAGGGTGTCAGGGGACAATAAATGCATTTAGCTGATTATTTGTCAGTTGGTGGTAAGTGCTATGAAGAAAAATAAAACAGAGAAAGAGGAAGAGAGTGATGCTGATAGGTACTGTTTTAAATAAGGTAGTTAAGGAAGCCCTCTTATAAAATGTTCTTTGAAAACATAAAGGACTGAGTGAGCAAGCCAATGCCCCCTAGGGGTCTGGGTGGAAAGGAACAACAGGTGCAAGCTCTGAGGTTGGAGCATCCCTAGCGTGTGTAAGAAGAGCCAGGGGGCCAGTGTGACCAGATGAGTGAGCGAGGGAAGAGAGGTAGACCAGATCATAAAGGCCACGAGGCTCATTGGAAAGGGCTTTGACTTTCTCTAGATGAGATAGGGGGACATAGTACATGTAAAGTCTCAAAATCATCTAAATACGTAACTACTGTTTTCCACATTACACCGCTGGCTACATCATTTACATCCACTTTTAGGCTATTGGCAAAACATCCTGAACTTTCAAGTGGAGTTGCATCTGGAATATGAGAAAAATTCAGATCTGTATGGCGTTCTATTTGCAAGATGACATTTGAGATAGTTATCTGCATGCTTGTGTCAACTATAACGTGAAGGAGCTGAAAAGGCAAAGTACCCTTCTGGGGAAGGCCTGTTCCCTTTAGTTGATCCACCAAATTTGTTGTTGCATTTTCATCAGCAATAAAAGTACAAATGAGAAATGGAATGGCCTACAACTCTCCATAGTCATTAAATAAATATACATTATTTTTTCTGAATTATTTTTATATCAATCCTTTCCCTGGAGATTAAATGGCTTAAACCCGTTAATTTACGACCACCAATCAAACCCCCCACCTTGATCAAAAAGTAAGTTAGTGTTCTTTCAAGTTCTAACTCCACGTTTCCCTGCCTTTTCCTGCCAGACAACGTGTAGGCTTTTCATCACACTTTTGTGTTTTATGAAATGTAGACAACACACCTGTGGTAGGAGAAGCACAGCTGCTCAAGTCTAACTGGAAAAGGAAATCCTTCCAGGACACAACGCCTGGCCTGAGGCCACTGGCATGTGTGACTTCTCTTAGGGCTCTCACTTCCAAGCTCAAGAACTTTCACAGTTAAGCTCTACGCTGCATGTTAGCCAGCCAAGTGTCAATCTATACATAGATTCTTGATGCCACCTCCCTATGTTCCTAATACACTTAGAAAATCTTCCCCTATGCCTAAGATAAGACAGTTTCTTAACCAGGCATGAAGGAAAGTAAATCATCATGCTGGAAACTGGAAAGGCAGAGGACTGACAGTCAGTCATTGAATCTTTCAATGTGTTTACAAAGCCCCTATTTGTCCAGTGTCACCACAGTGGACCGAGCAGATGAAGGTCTCTGTCCTCCGATAGCTCAAATTCCAGTGTAAAAAGACAAACAACAAACCATGGATATGTTAAGTAAGGAGTCCCTGAGGGGTGCAAAGGATTAATAGCACTCAGCTGCTAATTGAAAGGTTGGTGGTTTGAGTCTCCCCAGAACCACCTTGGAAGAAAGGCCTAGCAATATACACCCAAAACAATCAGCCATTGAAAACTCCATGCAACACAGTTCTAGTCTGAAACACATGGGGTCACCATGAGTTGACAACTCAACAGCAACTGGCTAACAGGTTGTTTGTTGTTGTTGTTGTTGGTTGCTATCAATTCAATTCTGACTTATGGCAACAGCACCCCCCCCCAAAAAAAAAAAAACCAAACTCATTGCCGTCGAGTCAAATCCAACTCAGTGACCCCTCCTTGAGTTTCCGAGGTGGTATCTCTATGGAAGTAGATTGTCCAACCTTCCTTCCGAAAAGTGGCTGGGGTTTGAGCCGCCAGCCTTCTGGTTAGCAGTCAAATGCCTTAGACACTATGCCACCAAAGTAGAACAGAACTGCTCTGTAGAGTTTTCAAAGCTGTGACCTTTCAGAAATAGACCTGTCTTTGGAGGTGCTGCTGGGTAGATTGGAAGACAAGTAAAATTTAGAGTGTGTTAGAAGGTAATAAGTAATTCAGAAAGGAAAAAGTAGAGCAGGGTGAGAGAGAGTAGGAATGGGAGGCAGGTTACAACATTAAATAGTGCCATCACTGCACCCAGTTGTTGATTGTCCGTTTTAGTACCTAACAGAGCTCAGACAGAGCAGGGATTTGGGTGGATCTGATATCTGGCACAAGACCCGGCTCACAGTTAGGTGGTCTCAAAGTCTTTGGTTTCTAACTATTGTATATTGAAGGAACTCATGTTAAACATCCTTAGAAGCTTTTTTAGTGTGTATTCTAAGATGTGTGGGTATATGTATTTAACCAACTAGGTAATAATTTAAATACAAAGAAAAGCCATGCCAACTCTTTTTGTAAAACTTTTTTTTTTTTTTAGTTTATACTTGGTAAATAAGACACTTTACTGTATGACTATAACCTTACCTCTGCCCACAACCAGAAAACTTGGGTTGGACAGGTACAGTTGAAGTTAAAATGGTCATTTTTTTTCCAGCTATTTACTGTTACTAAAAGAGATTTAGAGACACAAGAATTATTCAAGGGAAGTTCACAGAATTATTAGTGAAAGAAATATTTATATAGCTACCTTTACCTCACGAATTTAGAAATGGCTACTTTGTGAGGGAATGATTTGGACATCTCTTTGCCTTTCTCCAGCCTTTCAAAGACTTCCACAAAGTGAGAGAGTTTCCCAGGGTCTAAATGGAGACCTGTACTTTTCCAATGTCCTTCCGGAGGACACCCGTGAAGACTATATCTGTTATGCCAGGTTTAATCACACTCAAACCATACAGCAGAAGCAGCCTATTTCTCTGAAGGTGGTTTCAGGTAAGACCTCAGCTTCATGAAACTCTCTTTTGATGATGGTTACAAATATGAGTAAAATATATTAACTATGACTAAATAATGAATACTACCACCTTTGAAGTAAATGGGTTAAATGATCAGGAAACTACCTAGGAATAATCACTAAAGTGTTGGCATATATCTTGGAAAGGGCAGGTATCCCATAAATATTGTGTTTTACATTCTTTTTGCTGTACATGTTCATCTTTTATTGCCAATACTGTTTGTGTGTTAACCTTCAGAGTATACTGGGTGATCTGAGCAGTTGAGTGTGCTTTATGTCACACGATGCCTTTTACTTAGCAGTCCTGCAACCTACGTTAGATGTCACATATTACTGGTTGGGGGTAACTGAGTGAATTAATGAGTTAATCATGTACAATGTAAAACACTGTTTTTACTTGGTAGGGATGACACTTTGTCAGCATAGCTGTATTCATTTGCTTTTGTTGCCCAATACTTTTTTGATCCTTTCCTCTGCTTTTGTGCATTCTTCATAATATTCTGTTTATTTCAGTGGATGAATTGAATGACACTATAGCTGCTAATTTGAGTGACACTGAGTTTTATGGTGGTGAGTTATGGTGATTGTAACTGATATTCTTTCCTTCATTGTAGAATTAGTTCACTAACTTCACCTCCATGGCTATGTAACCTTATTTCTTTATGAAATTTCTAATTACATGTTTAACACCACTAGAGTAAATGTATGTTTTTTGTAATCATAGTTATAAACTTTCAGAATATGTCACTAAACCATTTTTCATGATGTATGTATGAAAATGAAAATTATTTTTAACTGTTTTCATGTAAAGAACCATTTCATGTGATTTGAAAAAATCTTTCATGTACATTTGGAAATATATTTTTGATTTTGTGTCCATCCATAAACGTTTTCTTGTGAGCTAAATAAAAATTGGCAGAATGTATTAACCTGCTAGATTACTAACTCATCAAACTCTTAATAACCTTTAGCAAATAACATTAAGTCAATTTTCATAGTAATTCATCACATTTCTTGTCCATTTTCACATGGCATTATCGATATAATTAACAATAGTATTTCTCTTAGTTTTGTATAAAACCAAGCAATTATCTTGAAATAATCTTTTTTAAACATAGTATTTAATTTCATTTTTTGAAACATAAAAGAATTTGATTTCCTCAAAGGAAAAATGACTCTGACGTGTATAGTCTATCAATGAAGATGGCAGGTTCTGGCTATTGGGTTGTACTAACAATCTATAAGATAGAATATCTACTGTATTAACTTTTCATCCTTGAGATGCAAAGAAAAAACCATTAACCCCCCCATGACCAGGCTAGACATGCCACATCACTGCCTTTATTTTATTTTAACATACTTCTGAGACATATGGGCCTTAAAACAATTTCCAAAGTGGTTTCAGAGAGGTAAGGTTTTTCCCCAAATCTCTAACATCTTAAGAAAATTCTAAAATCCCTGAAGTAATCTTCTCTGGCATTCAGGTTTTTGTTATTTTTTTTTCCTGAAAAAATTAAATAATTCATAGATTACTTTTTTATTCAGTATCTGTGGGCATCAAATGGAGATAATGCATTCAAGTGTTTTGAAAACTGTAAAGACCTACAGAACCTTAAGTGATATATTTTCTACTTCAAGTTTTTCTGAAAGGCCTTCAGGAGATCAGGCCACAGATTAAAAAGGCCTCCGTGAAAAAGAATGTAGCTTATACAAATCTCCCTGAGATCTCCTTCTTCCAAAATAGCTTCTTTGGATCTCGGAAGTCCTTTTTATTTTTTCATCGAGGAGACCAATTTCAATGTATTTAACTTCACCATTATTTTAATTTATGACATACAATTTGCCAGATCTCAGTCAGTAACTCTCTGGTTTTGTTTTGTTGTCCATAAAATGTTGTAGTTTGAGGTCTTAATATGTTAGGTATCCCCTACAGATTTAGTGTATTTCTTTGCAAATAATGCTCCCACATAAATAATGCACCCACACATATAATGCATAGAAATGATTAAATTAATTGAAATAGTTTTGGCATAGCAAGGTTTGCAAAAAAAAGAAAGAAAGAAAAAAAAAGTGTGCTTTATTTGCATAATAATACTGTATCTCCATGATTAATCTGGTAAAATTGGCTATACCATTGTCCCTGATGTAAATGAAAATACCCTTTTATAACCATATCTTTCTTAAAAGACCTAACATTTTCCAGATGATAGACAGTTTTTATTTTGACCTGCACCATAATCTGATGGGATGTTTAGTTAGATTATAGGATTTTCCTCTCTCTGTCTACATTTTGAAGATATTCCAACCCATAGAAAATCCATAAACATGTATGTGTACAAAAGGGAAACAAGGCCTTACTCTTAGTGCTTATCTAGCCAAAATTGCTGCTATTCCTCATTAACTGAGTGAATGATGGCTACTCTCAAGGCTGTGTGTCTGGGTAGCTTAACAAATTTCACACTCACTGTTAAATGGTTTAGAAAAGGGCTTAAAATTTTATACAGCTATTTTGACAGTGAGTTGAGTTTCTAGAAATACTCGTAGCAAGAAATTCATAATTTTTAATGCATATTGATTTTCTTTTTTGCAGCTAAATCAAGTAGAGAGAGGCCACCAACGTTTTTAACTCCAGAAGGCAATGCAAGTAACAAAGAGGAATTAAGAGGAAATGTCCTTTCACTAGAGTGCATTGCAGAAGGATTGTGAGTTACCATTTTGTATCCCAGTGTACATTTCATATAAAATATAGTAGGTTGATTGTTGTTGTTGTGTGCCGTTGAGTCAGACCCAACTCAGAGTGACCCCTCCTTGGGTTTCCGAGGCCATATCACTATGGAAGTAGATTGCCCAACCTTCCTTCTGAGGAGTGGCTGGTGGGTTTGAACTGCCAGCCTACTGGTTAGCAGTCAAGTGCCTTAGGCACTATGCTACCAGAGCTCCTAGTAGGTTAATAGAGAGGCATTAATATCACAGAGAAACAGGTGCCTTATCTACTACTTCCATAAGCATCGAAAACATTTTTATAATTATTTGCAACGCAGGTCATTATAAATCTTGTGTTACTGTTAAAATATTTTGTTAATGCAAAATATTTTATTCAAGATTTGTTAATCTTGAAATGAGTATCAGTAATCACCTTATGATTGCTATGATAATTAGGGTGTGTCATTTTTCAGTTGGTCTGTAATGAACCTCACCAAAACTTAGTGACCTCAAAACAACAGCTATTTATCATTGATCATTTATCTATGGGTCTACAGGACAGTTCTGAAACAGGCTGGGCCCAGCTAATCTCTCTTGGGTTTACTCAGACGTCTGCTAGGTGGCTCAGGATTCTGAGGGTCAGCTGGTTGTCAGCCGGTTCAACAGAGCTCTTGGCCATGAGTTTCTCATATCCCTCCAGCAGACAGCAGAAGCTTACAAGGACTCTTAGGGCCTAGGCTTGGAACTGGGACATTATCCTTTCCACTGCTTCCTGCTTGCAAGTCATAAGACCAACCCCACATTCGTTGCAAATATCTCATCTCTGCACATCCCAAAACTGATAGGCCTTTGGCATGAGTCACAGAGGGGCCTCAGCTCAGATACAAGAACTGTTGTGTTACATTAGATACATATTAGTAGCAACTCACTGCCGTGGAGTCAGATCTGACTCATAGGGACCCCTCCTTGGGTTCCTGAGGCGGTGTCATTACAGAAGTAGATTGCCCAATCCTCCTTATGAGGAGTGGCTGGTGGGTTTTAACCACCAGCCTTCTCGTTAGCAGTCAAATGCCTTAGGCACTACATGACCAGAGCTCCCTATTAGTGGCAAGCATCCATATCAGTCCCCCCTGTTATGCCTGATGGGTATGGGGACATCTATTGTAAACCTGGAGTGGAATCTCAGAAACCTGCTGCCCGCCCATGCTGTGATCTGTACTGTCCTTGACCTGGTCCACTCACTGGTCTCACATCTTGCCCAGAGTAAGCCTCCGTTGATAACTTGACTTCAGAAGGCACATGGAGGCCTCTTGTGGCCAAGACAGGCAATCACATTGCACTCAACTCACTTCCTCAAGTAACTGAAAACTAGCAACCCCCCTTTTAAAGCTATGTTAGATTCTATTTTTCCAACATAATTTATTAAAAAAGAAAAAGAAAAGAAACCTTAAGATTTTCATCTTCATTGTGTTAGAGAGTACTCTATTGATCTCCAACCTTTTCAGAGCAGAGTGCTTTGACATGTGTAAAACCAAGACATATTATTACAAATCAATAGATACTATAAACTCATAGTATCACAGTATTTCTAATTCTCAACAACTTCTCAATGGAGCAAGCCTCAAAAATAAATCATGACTTTGGGATGTGGAAATATGGTGTTCTCACTTCCATCTCTATCTCCCTCTCACATTCAGATCATGAGATGCAAATTAATCTAACTATAGGAAACATCATAATATGTCACCAGATCCCACATGTATACTGTATCAGTTTTTCAAAATGATTTCACATCTTCTGACTCTTTTTATATTCACAGCATGTTTTAATTTTAGCAGCTACAAATTAATCAGATAAATATGTTCAATTATTTTCATTCAGCCAAACAAACCAAAACAGTTCTACAAATAGTCCCATTTGAATTTCTGATCACAATTATTATCTTCCTGAGGACCTAGACAATATCTTTTTTGTCTTTATCTTCCCAACACTTAGGTTGATACCTGAAGTATAGTTTAGTACTTACTAAATGTTTGTGTTGAATGAATTTTTATTGTACTATCATGAAAATCAAATCTATTCAAATCAAATAGATTTGATGCATTGAACACCAGTGACCAAAAACCAGAAGAATTGTGAAATGACATCAAGAGCATCATCCATGAAGAAAGCAAGAGGTCATTAAAAAGACGAGAAAGAAAGAAAAGACCAAAATGAATGTCAGAAGAGACTCTGAAACTTGTCCTTGAGTGGAGAGTAGCTAAAGCAAATGGAAGAAATGGCAAGATAAAAGAGCTGAACAGAAGATTAATATTAATTGCATGCAAGTAAAATCTTACTGAAGATAATTCAAAAACGGTTGCAGCAGTATACTGACAGAGAACTTCCAGAAATGCAAGCTGGATTCAGAAGAGGATGTGGAATCAGGGATATCATTGCTGATGTCAGATGGATCTTGGCTGAAAGCAAAGAGTACCAGAAAGGTGTTTACTTGTGTTTTATTGACTATGCAAAAGCATTTGATGGTGTGGATCATAACAAATTGTAGATAACATTGAGAAGAATGGGAATTCCAGAACACTTAATTGTACTCATGAGGAATTCATAGACCAGGAGGCTGTCATTCAAACAGAACAAGGGAACACTACATGGTTTAAGGGAGCTCTGGTAGTGTAGTGCCTAAGGCACTTGACTGTTAACCAGAAGGCTGGCTGTTCAAACCCACCAGCCACTCCTTGGAAGAAAGGTTGGGCAATCTACTTCTACAGTGATACTGCCTTGGAAACCCAAGGAGGGATCACTGTGAGTCGGGTCTGACTCAATGGCACATAACAACAACATGTCTTAAAATCAAGAAGGGAGTGCATCAGAGTTGTATCCTTTCACCATACTTATTCAATCTGTATGCTGAGCAAATGATCCGAGAAGCTGGACTATATGAAGAAGAATATGACATTAGGATTGGAGGAAGAATTAATAACAACCTGCAATATGCTGGTGACACAACTTTGCTTGCTGAAAGTGAGGATGACTTGAAACACTTCCTGATGAAGATTGAAGGCTACAGTCTGCAGTATGGATTACATTTCAATATAAGGAAAACAAAAATCCTCACAACTGGTCCTAAAAGCAACGTTATGATAAATGGAGAAAAGATTTGAAATTGTCAAAGACTTCACATTACTTGGTTCTACAATTGACGCCAATGGAAGCAGCAGTCGGGACATCAGATGATGTATAGCACTGGGCAAATTGGCTGCAAAGGATCTCTTTCAAGTACTGAAGAGCAAAGATGTTTCCTTGAGGACTAAGGTGCGCCTGACACAAGCCATGATATTTCCAATCACCTGGTATGCATGTGAGGGCTGAACAATGAATAAGGAAGACTGAAGAAGAATTGATGCTTTTGAGCTGTGGTATTGGTGAAGAATGCTGAAAGTACTGTGGACTGCTAAAAGAACTAACAGGTCTGTCCTGGAGGAAGTGCACCAAGAATGCTCCCTGGAGGCAAGAATGGCCAGACTTCATTTCACCTACTTGGTCATGTTGTCAGAAAGGACCATTCCCTGGAGAAGGATGTCATGCTTGGTAAGGTGGAGGGTCGACAAAAGAAGGGAAGGCCCTCAATGAGATGGATTGATACAGTGGCAGCAGGAATGGGCTGAAGTATAACAAGAATCGTGGAGCTGGCTCAGGACTGGGTGATGATTTGTCCCGCTGTGCATAGGGTCGCTATGAGTCAGAGACAATTGATGGCACTTAACAACAACAACAACATCATGAAAATCTTCTGAAGTCATTAGATCCAGTCAACCACTATTGTCCCCACTGAGGCAGATGAGGAACCTGAGGCCCAAAGAAGTCAGTTATTGAAGGTCAGAGAGCAATTTAGGGACAAGACTTAAGTCTTTGAAGTAAGTCTTTTACCTCCAAGCATGTGTTCTGACATTTCATCCATATCTGTATTGCATGATTTAATAATAAACATAGGTAAGGTAGATGAGAAATAGTGTAATACATGAGTTTCATCTACTCTTATTGTTTGGTATAATAATTTGAAATATCCTAATAATGAAATTAAGGAGAGAGAATCACTATTCCTCTAATTACTTAATTCATATCATCATATGGCTGTGGTAAAATTGAAAACTTTATCCATTTGATATGAAAATGGATGTAAAAGTTCAAGGGCACAAATGGACACATCAGCTGTTTCTTTGTACATTTTTAACTTAGCTGATGGAAGATTATATCTCAGTATCATTAATTTCTTAGTAACTCTTTTGATTGGCATAGCATGTTCACTTCAATTTTTCCAAGAGTCCCTCATTGATCAGAACTTGGAAGAAGATAATGAGGTCCCTTCAGTAAAGCAGCTCATCCTAAGATTCTCGGTGTATCATTGAAGTCAAAGTTTAAGGTGTGCTATAAATTAGTATAGGAGCTCTGTTGGCATAGTCCCTAAGGCACTTGACTGCTAACCAGAAGGCTGGCAGTTCAAACCCACCAGCCACTCCTTGGAAGGAAGGTTGGGCAGTCTATTTCAGTAGTGATACCACCTTGGAAACCCAAGGAGGGGTCGCTATGAGTCGGGTCCGACTCCATGGCACATAACAATAACAACATAAATTAATATAGTCATGATTAGGTGAAAACGCTAACTTACAGACTTAAATGCTAACTTACATACTGTTGTTGTTATTGTTATGTGCTGTCGAGTCGGCCCCGACTTATAGCGACCCCTTCTTGGGTTTTCAAGGCAGTATCACTACAGAAGTAGATTGCCCAAACTTCCTTCCGAGGAGTGGATGGTGGGTTTGAACCACCAGCCTTCTGGTTAGCAGTCAAGTGCCTTAGGTACTACACCACCAGAGTTCCCACTTACACACTAGTACTTATAAAAGTGTAATGCTTATTTAAAAATCTATATATTTCTTGTGATCTCGATATAAATAATTTATTATAAACTTTCATAAAAATTTACACCTCAAAGCAGTCACAGGTGAACTTTTTTAAATTTATTTTTTGTAACCTTATTATTTGTTTATCACATCAGGCCTACACCCATTATTCACTGGATAAAAGAAGATGGAGTACTGCCCACCAACCGGACATTTTATAAGAACTTTAGGAAAACACTGCAGATCATTCATGTATCAGAAGCTGATTCTGGAAAATACCAATGTATAGCAAAAAATGCACTAGGAGTTATCCATCATACTATTTCTGTTACAGTCAAAGGTATGTCACTGTTTAAAATGCATTGCTCTTGCCTTCATGAGAGGCCCAATTAAACATTCTTTTGGGTATGTTCTTCAATGATAAATATTAAGTGTCTATCAACATTACGTTACCTTGAGTATCTTCTCATTGCTAGATAGTAGAAATTAAATCAGGTTAAATTAGTTCTCCATTAAATCTTCCTTATAAACTAGAAAGTGTGAGGCCACCATTAGTGAACATTCTAATCAAAGATTCCACAGAAGAATCCTGATAAAAATGGGGAAAATTAAGAGAAAAATTTAAAATCTCATGGACTCTAGACTTTCTGGAGCCACGTAAAGTGGGTGAACCCCTGAAAATATTGCCCTGAAATAATCTTTAAACTTTCAACTGAAAATATCCCTTAAAGTCTTTTTAAATCCAAATAATAGTTTAACTTAACTAATAAAAAAATCTACTTTGGCCATTATGCTCTTTTAAGAACTGTCTATATGGGGTCAAGGGAGCTCTGGTAGCATAGTGGCTAAGACACTTGCCTGCTAACCAGACGGCTGGCGGTTCAAACCCACCAGCCACTCCTCGGAAGGAAGGTTGGGCAATCCTACTTCCGTAGTGATACTGCCTCGGAAACCCAAGGAGGGGTCGCTATGAGTCAGGGCCGACTCGACGGCACATAACAACAACAACAACAACATATGGGGTCAAAGAGAATCAACAACTCAAAAGGTTAGATAGCAGCCTTAGGAGGAAGTCAGTTTATGTTAAAGGAGGAACAACTCAGAAAAAGAGGGTGAGGATGGTTGTACAACTTGAAGAATGTGATCGGTGTCACTGAATTGTACATGTAGGAACTGTTCAATCGTTGTATGTTGTGCTGTGTATATTCCAATAGCAACAACAAAATAAATAATTTTCTTAAAAAATCTTCCTTACAGAAGAATTCCAATTTATAAATATTGAATGAAGACGTTAAATAGAAAATCACTATTAGAACTCCCATAGTAAATGCTACCTGCTGATTAAAGAGCTGATTAAATGATTAATGAGCTGCTGATTAAAGCTAAAATAAGTGGGTGAAACTTTAAGAAGAAACTGGATATTTGTGTAGCCTAAAGTATTTGTCTCAAAATATTAATTAATTACTATTAATAAAATATTAGTTAATTAATTGATAATTAATTATTAACTATTGTGGTAGTTTTATCATAAATCCACAAATTCTTCCACACTTTGCCCTCATGAAAGTGGTGCATAACTTCCTTCCCCTTGAGAATAGGCTAGACTTAGTGACTCACTTCTAATGAATAAAATAAGAAAAGGACAAAATATTAACTTTAGAGTGGAGAAACCTGGCAGATACCACCTTAACCAAGTGGTCAAGATTAATGTCACCAATAAGTCATAGTGATAGCATGAACTCCATGATGTGTGATAAGAAAGTTCCATCATATCTGTGGCATTCTTCTCAAAAACCCATAACCTCAGTCTAATCATTAGAAAACAACTGATAAACCCAAGTTAAGAGTCATTCTACAAAATAAATGGCCAGTACTCTTTAAAAGTGTCATGGAAGACAAGAAATGACCAAGAAACTGTCAGATTGGAGGAGACTAAAGAGACATGGCAAAGAAATGCAATGTGGTGTTCAGGAAAGGATCCTAAGATATAGGACATGAGTGGAAAAACTGGGGAAGTCTTAATGAAGTCTAGAGTTTAGTTGACAGTATTTTATCAATGTTAGTTTCTTATTTAGATATCTATACCATGGTTAAGGGAGCTCTGGTAGCATAGTGGCTAAGACACTTGCCTGCTAACCAGACAGCTGGTGGTTCAAACCCACCAGCCACTCCTTGGAAGGAAGGTTGGGCAATCCTACTTCCGTAGTGATACTGCCTCGGAAACCCAAGGAGGGGTCGCTATGAGTCGGGTTTGACTTGACGGCACATAACAACAACCATGGTTAAGGAGCCCTCGTGACACAGTGGTTAAGTGCTTGGCTGCTAACCAAAAGGTCAGTGGTTTGAACCCTCCAGCTCTCCATGGGAGAAAGATGTGGCAGTTGGCTTCCAAAGATTTACAACCTTGGAAAGCCTATGGGGAAGCTCTGCTTTGTCTTATTGGGTCACTATGAGCTGGAATTGATTCAATGGCAATGGTTTTGGGTATCAAGGTTACATAAGATGTTAACATTAGAGGAAGCTGGGTGAAGCCTACATGGAAACACTTTATACTATCTTTCCAGCTTTTCAAAAATATTTTTTTAAAAGTTCCCCCTAATTTTATGAATATATGTTTTCTACAGAGCTCAGAATTTAAATTCCTGTTTCTTAGCCCTACTTATACCTATGAATTGCTCTACACCTTTGATAAATCTGCCACCTTTATAATATATGACTAATTTTAATGTTAAATGAGCTGATGACATTTGTATCAAAAGGTCTAGAAATTACACATACATGTCAGTGAGTCTCTTTAAACATTCTTTTGAAAATCTGAAGTAGTATTTGAAGAATGGCTTAAAAATCTCTTCACTCTAAAAATGAGACTAATCAATGTTTTACAAACTACTTTATTACTAAAATAGTTCAATTTAATCACCTGCTAAAATACTCACTTGATTCAGATTGCTGTTTTTATTATTTTTCTCTCAATAAAGCGGCTCCATACTGGATCATGGCCCCTAGAAACCTTGTGCTGTCCCCAGGAGAGGATGGAAGCCTGATCTGCAGAGCTAATGGCAAACCCAAGCCCAAGATAAGCTGGTTAACAAATGGAGTCCCAATAGAAAGTAAGTTGCCGTGACTGGCTCCAGTACCAGTAAATTTTAAGGCATATCTACATTTGAGCATCTCTACATCTGAACAAATGGTGATAAAATAATTTGGGCTAAGGAAGGAAACTATATATGAATTGAACAGAGGCACCAAATTACCTTTAGATGATATCATATTTGTTATGATTTTGAATACTTGATTTATGCTATGAACATAATGGTATGTGTTGACTGGGACTTGGCAATATTCCCTCTGTTTTTTACGTGAATCATGGGTAGGATGATATCGGCAGAAATGAACATTACTGTAAAGTTCAGGCTATCTTCTTTGCTCAAAATATCAAGAGACTAATGGAAGCATCATGGAAGTAAACGCAGTGGGTGGGAGAATAGGAAGAGAGCCACAGATGTGACAAGAAACAGAGCTGTCTTTCTTTAAAGAGTTACCGTCCATAGAGAGATAGATGGATGGAAAGATGGATGGACGGATGGATGTTGTAGAGTCAACTCCAACTCATAGAAGCCCCATGTGCAACAGAACAAAATGTTGCATGGTTCTGCATCATCCTCATGATTGCCAACATGTTCGAGTCCATCAGTGAAGCTATTGTGCCAATTCATCTCACCCCAGGTCTCGCTCACCCTTCCTGGTCCTCTACTCACCAAACATATGTTCTCCTTTAGACATGTCCAAAGCCAACAAGGTGAGCAATTTTCTATTGTAATCTATATGGATTTCATTGGCTAATTTTAGGAAGTAGATCACCAGGCCTTTCTTTCTCATCTGTCTTAGTCTGGAAGCTCTGTTGAAATCTGTCCACCATGGGTGACCCTGCTAGTATTTAAAATACCAGTGGCATATCTTCCAGCTTCATAGCAACACATAAGCAAACTGACAAGCAGGTTGTGGTTTCATGCCTAAGCATAACCCAGATGTTCCCAAATTCTCCAGGAGGTAACCATCCCATTTACCCAAAGAGCAGCACATATCCTAACCCCCTTACATGCAGAAAGCCTAATCTTTCATCACCTTTTCCTGTCTGAGATTATCCTTGAGCAATGCTTACCTGCTCCTGGCTGCTGCTTATCACCTTGTTCAACCATCCTCCCTGCACTGCTGCTCCGCTCCCTGCCAGCTTCTCCAGGCTGCCACCACACTGCCCATCATGGTCCCCACAGTGTGGGCACAGGCCCTCCACTAATCTTCTAAGTGTCATGAAAGATCAATTTATTAAGCTTTCAAGTTAAAAGCTTGGGGGTAGTAGGAGGGAATTATAGCAAAGAGAAAAGAAAGAAAAAGCTAAAGCTTAAAATGGGAGATTGTACCTCGCTGCAGCATAATGCCTACAGCATTTGACTGCTAACCAGAAGGCTGGTCATTGAAACCCACCAACCACTCCTCAGAAGGAAGATTGGGCAATCTGCTTCTGTAGAGATAATGCCTCAGAAACCCAAGGAGGGGTCGCTATGAGTCGGATCCCACTCTATGGCAATGAGTTTGGTTTTGGTGGGTTTTTTTTGGTTTGCTCCACAGAGAAAGTTCTTGGAGTCCAGATCTTCTCTTAGACCCAGATAGAGAAAAAGCCAATTACTGCTTCAAACAAACCCAGCCTCACTTCACCTTCCTGGTCAATATCACCATAATCTTCAGAGATACTTTTTACTAATAGTAAAAACAGCCTTCAGGCTTATGATGTAGGTTCCTCATTGCCTCCAAGCCAGACTCAAATATTGGTTCTACTTTTATATAGAACCACTAAACTGTCTTTCCTGCAAACAAAGTACAGTTTTCCCCCTAAAATGGATCCAAAAACTGCTGGCAGATTTCACATGGTCCCTTCTTCTCACCATCAGAGTTTCACAATTGCAGATCTAGTCTGAATAATAGCACCCTGTCCCATGAGTATTTGAGGAGAGTTTGTTTGTGTCACACAGCACAGTATTATCAGATACTTTGGAGCAGACAGGCTGTGTTTACAGTAAAAGGAAATATGTTCCTGGGACAAAACAGACTCTAAAAAGAGGCCAGCAAATGGGGTTTGGATATTTCCACTCCCAATTTTAACCATGATTGGGACCAGGAAAAACCAAAGAGAGCACTTTGTGGCTTGATCATCAGGAAGCTGTTGCCATTCTTGGGGACATATGAGTGAAAACTGAGAGAACAAGTGGAAGAAGCCCAGAGGGGAAAAAAGAGGTTATTTTATGTATTAGATGATTTTCTTAGAAATGCATAGAGAATGGTAGTAAATGATGGGACATGCTCAGCACTTCTGCACCATTGCTTTGCAGCTCAGGGCGTCTGTGGGGATTTATGGGAGGTTAAATGTGCACCTGAGGCCTCGACTCAGCAGAGCTGACAAGTGGAGGGGACCATTCATCTAGCCCCTCAACAGGAAAAATGGGAGCACTGCGGAGTGTTGAGAAGATAAATCCTCAAGCTCAGCAGCCAGAGAAATTATAAGTAGGGAAAATTGAAACACAGGTGGACCGGAGACACAAGAATAAGGGGAGATTGAACAACGAGGACAAGCTTTCCCTTTGCTTTGGCTGCTCACCATCCTTTGAATCTGAGCACAGGCGTCACTTCTCAGAGAACCATGCAACTAGTTGTGTTAAGAGCTTCAAATTGCACTAATAGGTAACAATCAAACAAAAAACCTAACTCAACTGCCATCCAGTGGGCTGCGACTCACAGGAACCCCGACTGTGTCACAGTAGAACTGTGCTCCCTAGGATTTTCAGTGGCTGGTTTTTCAGGAGAGGAGTGCCAGGCCCTTCTGCGGCACTGCTAGGTGAACGCAAACCTCCGCCCCTTCAGGTAGCAAACATGTGCCTAACCGTTCTCCCCGACCCAGGGAATCCTCCCTCATATACACACACATACACACGTACGTGCCCACACAAAAAACAACCCCGTTGCCTTTGAGTCAGTTCCAACTCACGGCAACCCCATGTGTCTGGGTGCACAAAGTTTTCTCTTGGCTAGTAACCTAAAGATTGGTGATTTGAACCCACTCAGCAATGCTCCTGAAGAAAGACCTGCCAGTCTGCTTCCATGAAGATTATAGCCAAGAAAATTCTACAGAGCTCAGTTTTACTCTCTAACACATGAGATCTCCACTAATAGTTAATCTTCTTTGAATCAAACACTGTGAGGGAAGGTCATCTGCAAAAGGCATGCTGGGGTGAGGGGGCAGTGGCCTCTCAGAGAACAGTTAGGCCCTTCAACGTAACCCCAAATTGTCATTAGGCCCAGAGCAGAAAGAGATGGAACAAAGTCTTTCAAATTAGAATCAGAATTTCTTCCATGCCAAAAGTATTTTTTAAGTTCCATGGGAAGGAAAAAAGGAGAATAAGTAAAAGATGTATAAGAATTCTACAGATCCAGGGCCCATTGCTGTCGTGTGTCTCAGAGCAGTCACTCTTGGGGGCAAGCCAACAGCAAAACACCACACACCATTGCAGCTAAGCAAGAGGCCCTGAACCCTACGAAGCTGGCCCATCATGCTGAGAGCAGACACTTAATATTTACACTAAGGTGACATGAAACCAAAACATGCTTTTCCAAAAGGTGCCTTTCTCCACAACCGGTGGCCAAGGTATGAGTGCATGGATTATGGTTTGGACCACTCATAATAACAGGTTATAGACCTCAGGCACCTGGAGGAGACTGTACAGCTACCTGCACAAAGATACTGGAGAGAGAACTGTTCTCTGCCCCTCACTCTCAGCACCTAGTCCACCCACAGCTTCTGCTAAGTGCTTGTTGGTTGGATACTAAATCTTACATAGCAGCACTCAAAGAAAGCCCTATGTGCCCTCACTTTGTGTAAACCTCCTTGATCCAAAATAAGGAAGAACTGTCAAGAAATAGCTAGAAGTTTAGCAAGCTGCCTTCTAGATGCAACGATGGGTCTCTCCTCATCCAGAGCAAAGAAGAATGAAGAAAACCAAAATTTATGGAAACAATTAGTCCTAGCGACTGATACACCATCTGATCTGCAGCCTATACGACTATGAGACCAGAAGAACTAGATGGTGCCCAGCTACCACTGTCATCCACTTAGAAGGGGATCTATGTAGGAGATCCTTGATATAGAGAGTGAACAATGTGGAACAAAATTCAAAATCATTTGGATGAAAAAAAAAGGTGGGGGGACCAGGTTTGCTGGTCTGATAGAGCCTGGTGGAACAACTGAGACTATGGCCCCTGGCTGCCCTTCAGGTCTGGAATTGAACCCACACCTGTGGTTTCCAGCCAAACAAAAGACAGGCATAGGAGTTGAACATTTACCTCAAGTAGATACTCTCCTTGGAGAGAACAATCATGGGAGAAAGAAGGGCTACTTATGCGCAGGGAGACAGCTCAGGGGGCAGGAGTCCATGGAGGGATGGATATAGGGAAGAGGTAACTATGAGGAGGAAGTGGGAGGGGAGCTGTTGCATTGTGGTAAACTGTGGTCAATGACATGAGACAAAGTATATGTGAACTGCTGTATGGAAAGTGAATTTGCTCTGTAAATCTTCACCCAAATCACAATTAAAAAAAAAAGAAAGAAAGAAATAGCTAGAAGTTTGAGGAGCTCTATGCCTCTGCCTTTTCCATTGGCTTGGTACTTACCCCGTGAATTTGGAAGGCCTCAGCATTGCCTGTGCGTTTTGGGTACAATTCTGGAAATGGGAGACTGGTGTTTGTTTCGCATCTGCAGCCTCCTGAGATGCACCACACAGATGCACTCAGCAATGCTGGGGTGTTGGGGAAGGATGGCAAGAGATGCTGAGGGGCAAGTCTAGGTCACATGGAACAAAATCTGCCACAGGATACAGTTGCATTCAGCTGACGTGCTTAGGATTCCTAACCTTCATGGGGCCTAGTGTAGGCCCCAGAAGTTAGCTGGGAGCACAAGCTGGCTTGCTAACAATGCCTTCCACCCAAGAGGCTGCAGAAACTGTGGTAGACCAGCTGCCAAGGGTGAGGGTAGGGAACAGCTGTGCTTCTGCAGAATCATCAT